TCAAGAAGAGGCTGGACGAATGTTTGTCAGAGATGCTTTAGGCTGGTCCTGCATTGGGCAGGGGGCTGGACTAGATGGTCTGTATGGCCCCTTCCAACTCTATAATGCTATGAAGGTCTTGGCCTCTATGCCCTGTTGTTGGCCTTCCAGAGGAACTGGTTGGCACCGTGTGAGACAGGATGCTGGATTAGATGGATCACTGGTCTGATCCAGCAGAGGTCTTCTTGTGTTCTTGTCAGGGGAAGGCCTCGGTCTCTTTGCCCTGTTGTGGACCCTCCAGAGCAGTGGTTCTCAACCTTCCTAGTGCCGCAACCCTTTAATACAGTTCCTCATGTTGTGGTGACCCCCAACCATAAAATTATTTTCGTTGCTATCATGACCGTTGAAAATTTTTGTTTTCCAATGGTCTTAGGCGACCCCTGTGAAAGGGTCATTTGACCCCCAAAGGGGTCACGACCCACAGGTTGAGAACTGCTGCTCCAGAGGAACTGGTTGGCCACTGTCTGAGACAGGGTGCTGGACTAGATGGACCCTCACTGGTCTGAACCAGCAAGGCTCTTCTGATGATCTCATGAACCTCGGTCTCCCAGACCCCAGTCCAACACTTACCGTTAAACGCTGCACCACACTCTTAATTCCTGACCCTTGTTTCTACCACTTGCCTTGCTTCTGCTACAGTTCTCTATGGAGGGTCAGATCTCATCTGAACATAAACCAAGAATTCAACCCATTGGGGAGAAGCCTCCCCCAAAAGTAGATTCCACTACACCCTGACTCAACATCGCTAAACTTGCAGGATGAATCCAAAATCCCCCAAGTTAAGGAAGATTTGGTCCCTACATTATGCGCCGCTGCAAGGTGTGCAATCGCCTCCTCTTGGAAATCTCCCTCACCCCCAGTTCTGAAGAGTTGGTCCAGGTACATATGGGGTTATCTCACAACGGAAAGGATACTGATACAAAACCGCAAATAAACACCCTTACTCCGCCTCTGATTATTATAATTTTGGTACCCTGTTTTAAATTTTATTGCTCAGAACAAAGGCCTTTTTGATCAGGATTGTGTGATAGATGTTTTACTACGTTCATTCATCGATACTTGATTGCTTACTATGATCTCATAGGTTTATGACAGTTTATCGTCGCTGTATCTGATGTTAAATTTTCAATAAAAACCTTTTTAAAAAACCCCAGAAACAACTGATCATCAATCACAGATATTGATAAGGAAGAGATCCTTTGCAAGAGCCCCCCCAAGTGCAGTGTGTGTTTGGGGCTGGCTCCCGAGTTGGCCACACCCCGCAGGAACTCATTAGCATAACAGGCCACACCCAGCAGCAGAAACCCATTAGCATAATAGGCCACACCCAACAGCAGGAACTCATTAGGATTGGCTACATTAGGGGTGTGTGGCCTAACATGCAAAGGAGTTCCTGCTCCAAAAAAAGGCCCTGGGTTTTGACAACAAACAAGGTAAACAGAATAAGAAGCAAAAGGTGGGTGTGGCTGGATGACTACACGGGGCTGTGGCCTAACATGCTAATGAGCTGTGGTGTCAGGAGTGTGGCCTAATGTGCTAATGAGTTTCAGCTGTTAGGTGTGGCCTAATGTGCTAATGAGTTCCTGCTGGGCTTTTTCTACAAAAAAAGCCCTGGTCTAGACATTTCTTTACCTGAAATGTTTGTATCCTGTTTGTCTTCCAGGATAGTTGTTTGAAGCGTGCTGTTAAATCTTTTTTTTTCCTTGCACCATCTGAAGGGCAAAGTGGTTTCTTGTGGCGTGACGCTGCTCGTGGGGGGGGGTGCACGGGCGCACGGTGAGGTGTGTGTGGTCAAAGCTGTCAAGAAATGAAAGGAAATGGCTAGGGAGTGGGTATGGTATCCCTTTGGGGAAAAACTGGCCTTGCATAAGATTAAATACATTTATTGGGGCTTTTGTGGAGTCCCCAGTAAATCAATTGCTTTCACTCCTAGGAGTGAATTGCTTTTGTTTGTATTTTGAGTTAAAAAAAATAATATCATTACTAGGGTTTGCCTGTGTCATTTATAAAGTCTGTATCTCCAGTACCTGGCATTTCATTTTACGGCAGACATGGCCCGACAAAGTAACTTTTATGTCAGATTCGGCCGTTGTGACCAACAAGCTTGACACCTCTGCCCTAGCCCTTGAAAGTATCCATCTGAATAAATCCATCAGTCTTTAAAGTGCCGCAAGGTTCCCTTTTCTGTTTTTAGCCTGGTTCCCGTTCTGGAATCTGCTGTCTGGGCTGGTGCATCCGTGTGAGATTATCACACTCCTCTTAGCAGGATGTGAACCTCCCTAGGGAAGGACTCTGGTCCCGGCTTGAGCCACACCAGTGATAACCGGGGAAGCTGTGGCTGTTCTGTACTCTGCGCCGCGGTTATGTGTGGTGCATCGGTGAACATTGCCTGCATGTTTCTGCACATTCCTTTTTGGGAGCAGAATAGCCACACACTAGGGCAGTCCTCCCTTTTGTCTGTAGTTCTAATGTGGCATGCTCAGTTTTGGTATAGGATGAACGAAAGGTATAGTGGAGCCAGTTTGGTGTAGTGGTTAAGTGCATGGACTCTAATCTGGGAGAACTGGGTTTGATTCCCCACTCCTCCAGTTGCACCTGGCTGGATGACCTTGGGCAAGCCATAGTTCTGTCAGAGCTGTTCTTGAAAAAGAGCAGTTTCTGTCAGAGCTCTCTCGGCCCCACCCACCTCACAGGGTGTGTCTGTTGTGGGGAGGGGAAGGGAAAGGAGTTTGGAAGCCGCTCTGAGACTCCAAGTGAAGGGCAGGGTATAAATCCAATCTCCTCCTCCTCTTCTTGGAAACGTTTAGTAAGCCTCTGTGCTTTATGGGCTGTCGTGTTGAGACTAAAAGGCGGAAGCGCCCCTGCCAAAGTGTCGCCAGTGACTCTTTCCTTCTTCCCTTTCCCCCCTTCCGTTTTAGGTCTTCCTGAGCAGTACTACAGCCTCACATGGTTCCTCAGTCCGATCCTGGGCCTGATCTTCACTCCTCTGATAGGTTCCGCCAGCGACCGCTGCACCCTCAGCTGGGGCCGCCGGCGGCCTTTCATCCTCGCCCTCTGCATCGGCACCCTCATCGGCGTCGCCCTTTTCTTGAACGGCTCCGCTATAGGTAAGTGGCAGGCCGGAGAGAGGGCTTGCTCAGATCGCGGGACTCTCCGTTCTCCCTTGAAAGTGGCACTGTGGGATCACACCGAGCGGATGTCGCTTTTTATTTTTTCTAGGATGCATTCACATTTAGGGCCCAACGAGATGAGGTGACACGACGTCCGTGACTAGGTGGCTACCGTGTTGTTGTCGTCGTTTTAAATAAAAACCTCTGCGTTGCCGTGGGACAGGGTGCCTGATCTGGTCAGGGCCCTGGGGTTGTGGGGAGTTTAACCGTCCCAACAAAGTTGAACACACATGAAGCTGCCGTGTACTGAATCAGACTCTTAGTCCCTCAGTCAGTATTGTCCATTTTGGCCGTCAGCGGCTCTCTATTGTCACAGGCTGAGGTCTTTCACATCACCTCCTGCCCGGTCCAGTTTGGTGCAGTGGTTATGTGCGCGGACTCCCGGTCCAGTTTGGTGCAGTGGTTATGTGCGCAGACTCTAATCTGGGAGAACCCGGTTTGATTCCCCACTCCTCCACTCGTAGCTGCTGGATGACCTTGGGCAAGCCGTAGTTCTGCCAAAGGTGTTCTTGAAAAAGAGCAGTTTCTGTCAAGAGCTCTCTCAGCCCCGCCTACCTCACAGGCAGTGTTCCCTCTAAGCTGAGTTAGTGTGAGCTAGCTCACAGTTTTTTAGCCTCCAGCTCACAGTTTTTTGTCTTAGCTCAGGAAGGATGGCTCCAGAGCAGGCTAATTTATGCAGGAGCCCAATCGCTCGCTCACAGCTTTAACGCCAGTAGCTCACAAAGTAGAATTTCTGCTCACAAGATTCCACAGCTTAGAGGGAACATTGCTCACAGGGTGCCTGTTGTGGGGAGGGGAAGGGAAAGGAACTTTGTCAGCCACTCTGAGACTCCTTCAGGGAGTGAAGGGTGGGGTATAAATCCAATCTCTTCTTCTTCTTCTAACTGGAGATGCCAGGGATTGAACCTGGGACCTTCTGCATGCCAAGCAGAGGCCCTTCCACTGAGGCACGGCCCCGCCCCAAGTACTGGTCTTGTCAGCTTGCAAATGCCAGCGGGTTGCAGCCAGACTTACAGCTCCAGATAAAGCCCAGTGTGACTGGGCGGGTGCGTCCCAAATTCTTTTTTTTCCCCCCTTTTGTGAAGGTCACTCCCACTTTTTAAGAATCTGCAGAGATGGTATTTTAGAATGGTTTTAACCCACCTAGTTCTGGAATCTTGCTCTAAAATAAACACACCTTTTCTCTGCAACGGATGATTGGATTACCTTTTTCACGTGATTATTTTTTTAAGAATTAAGCACGCACTAGAAGGGAGAGCAGCTCTTACCTTACAATATAGCTGAATTATGCTGGTGAATTTTCCAGAGTGCCTGGTTAGCAGCAGCAGATCTTACACAGATGGTTCCCAAATGACAACTTCTCAGACACCTTCCAGGAAACAAAAGCATTTCTCACGTCTGCCTGTGCTTTATTCCATTTGTCTGAGCTCGGGCTAAACTGAAGAATGCGTGAGCCAAGAGCCCAAACATATGTCATTCAGGAGATTTTTTTTTAACTCGTAAGCAGCCACTGAAGGGGATGTGCGACTTCTTCCATTGCACTTCCCAAATTCCACTCCACTAAATATTGGTATTAGCCTTGGTGGTAGAAAAAGCAATACTTTTGCCCCATGCCATTCATAATGTGTGCGTTTCCCATTCACAGAGCCAGTATCTTCGGAAGATTAATTTAATTCGCATTTCTCACGTCTGCCTGTGCTTTATTCCATTTGTCTGAGCTCGGGCTAAACTGAAGAATGCTTGAGCCAAGAGCCCAAACATATGTCGTTCAGGAGATTTGTGACTGCATGTTCCGAGATATTTTTTTTAACTCGTAAGCGGCCACTGAAGGGGACGTGTGACTTCTTCCATTGCACTTCCCAAATTCCACTCCACTAAACGTTGGTATTAGCCTTGGTGGTAGAAAAAGCAATACTTTTGCCCCACGCCATTCATAATGTGTGCGTTTCCCATTCACAGAGTCAGTATCTTCGAAAGATTAAGGGGTCCCCAGTCTTTTTGATCTGGCAGACACATCTGGAATTTTGAGAGGGACGTGGGCAGCACTACCTCAAAAATGGCTTCCGCAAGAGGCAGAGCCAACCCAAGATGGCTGCCACAGAAGGTGGAGCCAAACAAAATACCTACCTCCTTACAACTCTCGGGAGGAAGGAAAGCCTTTATTTTCTTCATCTTGTGAAGTAACAGATCTTGGTTTAACCCTGTCTCCCAACACATTCTACACTAAATGCGAGTTCACCCCTGTAATTATCTCGGGGTATTTTTACATTCTGCACTACACTATTCACCCCTGTAATTATCTAGGGATATTTTTTGTTTCTACATTACACTGAGGTCACCCCAGTTTTGCCCCACACTTGTCCCGGGATAAATGGGTGCTGTTATAACGAGGGATACGTGCAAGGTATTGTGTCGCGAGTTGAACTCTGATAAATCCAGGGATGAGATTCAAGTGCAAAAAGGACCTTTGACAGGTCTAACTATTGGAGATGTACCAATGTTGGGGGCACAATGTTGGGGAACACCCTGGTTTAAATCAAGAAAATAGTTCTGGGCAGGGGTCTTGTTGTAGAAAAAGAGCTGCCGGAGCTCATTAGCATAAC